TATATACTTACATACATGCATGCATGCATGCATACATACATACATACATACATACATACATGCATGCATGCATGCATGCATGCATGCATACATGCATACATACAGACATACGGTTCATTTGTCTATACACGTCGCCTATGTCGCGATTCTTGTATGCATGTAGTAGTCAGTACCGTTTGTCCGACATCTCTAGCACACTGGAAAATCGACTCGCTCATGCTGCGAAACCAATACTCTCAAAGATCCAAGGATCGTGAGCTTAGGATGTTCGGGGTTTGGGGGTTTGGGGGCGCAGCGGCTTGAGGGGTCTTAGCTTCCCGTCAAGTCTTGAAGTTCAAGTCTCAAGGATCAATGCCGAACCGTGTCCTTGAGTAGCACCCGCATCAATGCCCACGCGGTGGTGGCGGTGGCAAACATGAGGGAGGAGGGGGACGCCTTGTCAGAAGATCTACAATGACCACGGGACAGTTCCGGAGTTGTGGGCCGTGGGGAGGCATGGCAACGGCTGCTCAACAACGAACTGCAGCTCAACCCTGCTGGGCGGAACACGAACAACAGCACAAACACAACAACAGTGACAGCAAGGAGTGGCAATGAGTAAACGGTGTGCTTCCATCTACTTCCATCTCCACAGCTAGCACACCGGACTCTATGTCCCTTTTGGGACCCTTTTGTTCAACCGTCTCGAAGCTCGACACACAACCCCTGAACTTCACCCGAAACAAGACAAGGAATCGATCCAAATAAGAGCTGCCTTTCCCCGCCCACCCGCCCTGCCCCGTTCATACAAGTAAAGGCATAGAAACCACGGACTCCGAAACCCGCCGAGCCTGTTGGCACCTAGCACACTGGGGCCCGCGATGGATGGCTTCGGATCCATGTCGGCATCCTGCATTTCCCAAATTCGTAAGCTTAGGCAGTGGAGTAGCTGATCCTACTTCTGCGAATGATGCGACCATCCTCACAGAAAATGCCGCTGCTACCGCTGGGATTGCAAGCGTCAACTGCCATGGTATTGCTGGACTAGTCGCGACGCAGGTCTTAACATTACGAAGATCACGATGAAGTGATCGAAGGTTTAGGTCACCAGGTGCTGAGTGCAGTGCTTCAAGGGGGAGTTCATGCTCATGCTTATGGGCCACCGAGGAGTCGCGCAGTAAAACGACAAGAGTCCCCACCCGGCATGTCTTTTGACCATCTTTCTTCAGTGTACACCCCGAAGCTGCCAAGGCGTGTGCCCTAGACGCACATCCCCGAACCACAAGCTCAATACCCTGCACCGAGGACCCAAAACCGGAATCATAGCCCCAACCCCCAAAGAGCTGCCCGAGAGGATGCCCACCTCATCCAGAAAGGCCAGATCCACCAAAGGAAGATGGCAGCCATCAGCCTCACCCCGCTCGGTACCGGGTTGTATTCTGCCGCTGTTTCCTTGTTTTTCTGCTTGCGCGTCCCTGTGTGTATGTGCTTGTCTTTTGTAGCACTCGATTCTTGGGATGCTTATACAGTCTTGTATATTTGCTCTTGAGTTAACTGATGTTGATTGTGTAGCCATGACTGTGTTGCCAAAACTCTAACCGACTTTTCTAGGAACCTACATTCGCAAGATGCTCGTCGAGCTCCATCGGACTCAGGACAATCAGCTTGCGAAGCCTCCTACGCCGATTTCTCCTCCGACTCCGACTCCTACTCTTACTGCTGCTACTACTGCTGCTACTACTACTAGTAATGCTACTACTACTACTACTACTACTACTACTACTACTACTGCTACTACTACGTACTGCTACCACCACTTCGAACTCCACTTCAACTACCACCAGCACTGCTACTGCTTCGACGACCATGATCTTCTCATTGTGCATCCTCCCACCTCGGGGTGGCTCTCCGGCATCCGAGCGAGTCCTGGGGGCGGACCCAGGCAGCCCACGGCCTCCAGGCCTTCCGATGTCGGGGCGGAGGAGCGGTCTTTTTCGGACTGTAAACGGATGTTACTGGTCTGAGAAGGGCTTTAGCCGGGCTCTAGTTTCTAGCGAATATTGTTCTAGGCTGCTACAGGATTCCTTACGATCTTATCAGACTTCGATTACCAGTTCTAACGGCTTTAAGAATGGCTTTCAAGGATTGAAGGTTCTAGAGGTTTGAGGGGAGGTTTCTTAGTTAAACTCGGGGTCGGTTCTTGTGCTGGGCTCAGGAGTGCTTTGTTTGAAAGGGGGGGGGGGGCGGGGTCCTCAAGTGAGGACGCCACGATTCAAGCGATGCCTGTGTCCATGTGTATGAGCCTGTGTAGGTCTATGCGTATGTTTATGAGTATGTGTGTGCGCGAGTGAGTCTGTCTGTCCGTGTCTGTGTCTGTGTGTGCACATGCATGCTTCTGTACTTACATGCGTGTACGTACTTGTTTGGACCTCTATGCGGTACATTTCTGTGTGCCTTGGAGGTATGATCAGTGGCTAATTACGGCTCTTGTCGCCGCAGCAGTTCGGAGCGGGGTAAAAGGTGACAGTGCTCGCGCTTCAGGATTCGGGGTTGGTTGGGATTTAGTACGGTGCGCTGTTCTAGGCACCGTTGGTTTACCGGTCAGATTACCGGGCTGAGTCATGTTCGAGATGGATCTGTCCAGTGCGCAATCCGTTGGGACCGTCATTTAATGCCTGAAGGCCTTTATCCAACCAGGTTTAAAACGTAAACCCAGATGCTCTGACACCAACCAAGTTCTGCCAACAAATTCAAAAACAATGGGTTTCTCATCGCACCGAAAAGCCGGCAATTGAATGCACCACGTTGTAAGCAGCCTAGGCAGAAAAGACCTTCTACTATGCTCACTGCCAGCGTATCAAGACAGGCAACCCTGAAAGGGAAGTTTCTCAAAACAGTACATAATTCTGGGGCCTGATCATCTGGTTTCTACTTGTTACTAGTCACGGTCCCTCTTTGATCCCCTTTTAGTTGAACCTCACCCTAAACCCTACTAAACTCTAAACCCTGA